CCAAGGCCGTGGACATGTAACAGAACCTCAACTGAGCTGAAGATGAACGTCACCTCTTATCTGGACAATGGCTGAGGGGGGGGGCTCTGGACTATGCTACGACTTTCCCTTAAAACTTCTCTGTCTTCACGGCCTACATGTTCATGTATAACATCTGTTTATGTTGCTTTGCTGTGGGAGGTTTGTTTGATGCCTCAAATCGTGCCCTGTCTAGGACACGGAGTGACAGATCTTTTTTTATACCGTCTCTCCTCATGTTTTCTTTCCTTTTCTTATCTAAGAGAAATATTATTCTGAATAAGAATAAGAGGCCGCGCTAATTATTTATAGCCGCAGCTTCGTGCACTCCGCCCATCTTCAGTCGACTGTACGTACATGTTCTCGTAACTCGGTGCAATGATAATAAAGTTTATTCTGATTCTGATTCTGATGACAAAGCCGGCATTGCTTATTTATATATTTTTTTAATTTTCACTGATAAAACAAAACAATAAAAAAAAAAAATAATAAATTCATGATTTTTTTAAAAACATTTCATGTATAAAAAAAAAAATTATAATTTTTTTTAATACATGAAATGTTTTTAAAAATCGTTTCTACCATCTGTCCCAGATCCGTCCCGGTCTGCTTGACTGCCGGGATCGGGGTTCGGCCTTCATGATTACGTGAGTCACCAGCTCATGTGATCCTCCGCGGTGACCATCGGAGCTCTGAGCCGGGGAGATGACGCCCTGCCCAGCCTTGCTCCAAGGCTCCGGGGGAGAGGACCGGGGAGTCCGGCGGAGCTCCATCTAGCTCCCTCTGAATTTTGTCATCTTCTACAAGCACAAAAAGCACCAGCCCTTCAACCTTAGACCACGGTGTTGTCATTATAGTTTTTAAAATCTTTAAAATAGATCCAGCCGCTGCACTGGGTTCCGAGTAATTGCAAATGACGGATCAATGTTTTGAAAAGTTTCTGAAGGATCCAGTGACTCCTCCCCCTGACCAATCAGTGACCGACAGTGTTCTGACATCATGTTTTGGTACCTACTCGGCCCAGTTGGAACCACATAGCCAAGGGTTCTGAAAAAAGGGACCGGTTCTACATACCGTTACTAATGGCTTATTTGCACTGCTCCTAATAAGCCCCAATTCTGGGCAGCCCGCCACAGAAAGAACCCTTTTGCACCAGCACTTTAGTATTTTTAGCTGATATGAGGCTGATTCAGGACTTCTTTTCGTCCCTGCTTCTCTAGTGGGACCAAGCGAGCTCAGCTGAGCTGAGTCCAGACTGAAACGTGAATGCAGGACTCAGATTGGTCAGGGGGAGGAGTCACTGGATCTCAGAAACTTTTCACCGATCCACCATTTGCAATTTCTCTGGACACGGAGCAGCGGCTGGATCTATTTTTAAGATTTGAAAAACAATAATGACAACACCATGTTTAACTCTGAAGTCCAGGCGTTATTTTGTGTTTGGTGACGAACGACAAAATTCGAGCGAGCGGAGTCACCGCGGAGGATCATTCGAGCTGCAGACCTGTTGAAGCACGTGAGGCCGGACCCCGAGCCCCGGCCTTGCCTGCTCACAAAGGCCGGATTCTGAGCACTGGCAGGTGGGAGGGACAGGGGGTGGAAACTTTTTTTTTTTTTTTAACATTTTATGTATAAAAATAATGTTGTTTTTTAATCAGTGAAGATTAAAAATAAATAAACAGTGCCCACTTTATCATGAAATCCTGTTTTCACTTTGACTTTATTAAATAATTTGTTAAAGTTAACTCAGCTGAGAACAATGAGAGACCTGTACGAAGATGGTTTATTTCTTAGTTTTTCAGAATTGTCTTCTAAATTTAATCTATCCACTTCACATTTGTTTCTTTACTTCCAAATTAGGCATTGCGTTTCATCGCAGTTTCAAAATTTTCTAACTTTGCCTACTGACCCACCATGGGTTGAACTCTTAGTTTTGAGCCCCAATTTGAAATCTCCTCTTTCAATTATTTATGGAAAACTTATGGCAATAGAGGCCGACTCATCGGGTAAAACTGGAACTGCATGGGAACGTGAACTGGGTGTTAAACTATCAGATTCATGGTGGGATAAAGTTATTCTCAGCATACGTCAGAGTACACCATGTGCCAGACTACAGTTAATACAATTTAAAGTAATAAATAGAGTACACTTCTCAAAAACACGTTTATCTAAAATGTTCCCCTCAATACCAGACCAGTGTGATAGATGTCAGACTTCACCTTGCAACTTAAGTCATATGTTCTTTTTCTGCCCAAAACTGCAAGGGTTTTGGAAATATTTTTTCTCCATACTCTCAGGAGTTTTTAAGATTCAGTTTCAAAGTGATCCACTTATTGCCATTTTTGGAGTTCCTGGGACCACACTTAATCTATCCCGCCAGCAGGGGGAGGTCTTGGCCTTTTGCTCTCTCCTTGCCAGACGTTGTATTTTGCTTGCCTGGAAATCTCCCACACCACCATCCACATCACAATGGCTTAATACTGTAAGATCATTCTTGAAGATGGAAAAAATTTTACTAACAGTGAAAGGTAGTTCAGAAAAATTTACCCACAAGTGGACACCCTTTGTGTCATATGTAAAATCTTTACCTTCATAGCGTATAGACTGATATGATTGACTCATCACATTACCATGTGACTTGATTTTAGAGGATAAATGAAAGAGTGAAATACTGTTTTCCTTTTGGTTTGTTGGGTCCCTCCTATCCGTTCCTCCTCCCCCTCTCTCTCTCTCTCTTTTTTTTTTCTTTCCTTATTTTGTCTTGTTTTTGGTTAAAGGGGGAGGGAGGGGAAGAGGGGAGGGAGGGGGGAAAAAGGGGAAGGAAAAAGGAAAAAATTGGAGAAGTCAGGTAAATTTTGTATAATGTATGTAATGTCAATTATATATTCTCCTGATAAATAAAAATTAAAAAAAAAAAAGTTAACTCAGCTGAAAAATCATAAAAAGACACAAAATTATTGGATCTCAGAAATATTTCCCTCAAACATGTTTAAAGAAGAGACACAGCCTTTAGTTAAACGCTATTCTAACCTATAGATGTACAAATCACAAAACAAGCATTACACTTTAAATTAAAGCTTTAAATCAAAGCTAAAAATAATCTGTGTACAAGAAACAAAACCACAATTAGTGCAAATACATCAAATACTGGACATCATTACCTGCAGTGTTCCCTCAGTGAGGACTGAACTAGACAAAAGGACCTTCTCCTACTCCGCTCCTGTTTCCTGGAATATCTTGTAAAAAGATCTGAAGCTCTCGACCTTTGACCTCTCTAATGTCTTTATGAATCTGTTGGACTCCTGGCAGGGACCAATGCAGACATGTTCCTGTTTTTAGTTTCTACATTCACCTAAGAATCTAGCTGTTTTGTTACTCTTTTTGCATCTTATTTGTTAAAAAAATAAATAAATAAATCTGTATGCCTTTTTATAACTGTTTATTGTTGTCGCCGTTGTCCATTGTTGTCATCTTTCTTTGTTGAAATCAGGTCTCTCTTGTAAATGAGTCCTTGATGCTCAATGGGATTTACCGTCTAAATAAAGGTTGAATGAAAATAATGAAAAAAACATAGTATTTTAAATATAGATGTTTTTGTAGAAGCTGGTTCATCAGATTTAATTCAGTTTATATTTATATAGCGCCAAGTCACAACAGAAGTTGTCTCAGGGCACTGAACAGAAATAGTCATATATAAAAATAATAATTTAATATTATTTATTTGAGGAGCAGACTGCTTTGAGTTTAACTCATCGCAGAATTCTCACTAGCAGAGATTCTGGACACGCCTCCAGAATCGGTCCTAAATTGCAGGTGCAAATCCAGGCTGAGCTGAGTTGGGGCTGATTAGGAGCAGTACAAATAAGCCATAATGGAAAAGCCTTGGAACTGGGCTGAGTCGAGTCGTGCTGTACCGTTACTAATGGAAAAGGGGCACCCATAGCTGATTGGATTCATTGGGTTTCATGGACAAACATACAGTAACTGTGTATCATCAGCATAACAATGAAAATGTATCTAATGCATCAATATTGTTATTTGTAGGGGGAGGGGTGGCACAGAGGTTAGAGAGGGCAAGCCTGTAATCGTAAGATCACTGGTTTGACCCCTGGAGCTGTCGTCCTCAATGCACTCAGGGAGCTTGTGTATTTGCCCAGACACTAGGGCTGGGCCATATCATATCGTTCACAATAATACCGGTAAAAAAAACTTGCCCAGGAAAATAAATTATATCATGATATGCTAATTTCATGATATAAGTATGTCAGTGTTTCCCCTACTATTATACAAGCGCTGTGCCCTGCCCTGTTAACAGAACCAAGCACGCCAAACTACTGAACCAAACTGCGTACCCCCCACCACCACCACCACCTGTCGTACTGGCATAACGCTAATTAGCTGTGCGCAATACTAGCTAGCTAAAATACTAAAAACAAACGACGCGCAGCTCAGCTGTGTTTCAGTTCCACAGTCCATGGAGCAAGAACAGAGTCATGTGATCAGAGACAGAGTCATGTGATCAGAGACAGAGTCGTGTGATCAGAGACAGAGTCGTGTGATCAGAGACAGAGTCGTGTGATCAGAGACAGAGTCGTGTGATCAGGGACAGAGTCATGTGATCAGGGACAGAGTCATGTGATCAGAGACAGAGTCGTGTGATCAGAGACAGAGTCGTGTGATCAGAGACAGAGTCGTGTGATCAGAGACAGAGTCGTGTGATCAGGGACAGAGTCGTGTGATCAGAGACAGAGTCGTGTGATCAGGGACAGAGTCGTGTGATCAGAGACAGAGTCGTGTGATCAGAGACAGAG